TTTTAGCTTCCAGAAAAAAGCGTTTAAACGATAAGGAATGTGAGAATGAAGTAGCTCTTACCATTTGGTATAGATATAGGTCATGGTCTCCTTATTGCGTGAATCAAGAGGCTGAGTCTGCTGTAGCAGCACATTATTGAATAGCCGTGTAATATCAAGAGGGACTATAAGCGGTGAAATTTACGAAAAACATCCAAACAAGGAAAGTGGGTTACCGCAAGCGTCAATGTTTTGTAACACGGTCATATAAGCTTGAATTATCATCAGTAAGTCAGATGGCCGTCGAGGCGTTGATGGAGACGCTGAAATTGTTAAACTCTTATGCTTACACAAGTACTGAAGATGTGAAACATACAAGGATCCACAGCCATCGCAAGTATGAGATCAACAAATTTGTGCTCAATGTGTTGGCTCAAATATTCACGAGGAGCAAAGAAGTGCTCAGATATGAAAAGCTGGCGATACTGGCTGATGCCAGCGCAGAGTTCGACTAAATGAACAACTATCAAGTCGAAGAGATACAAAAATGGAAAAGAAACGTACTGAGTGTTGTCTGCAGTTTGTCTGGATAAGTAAGTGTTTGTCGGTCGACACGGTAGCTTTCCTCTCCAGCGGGAGCAGGATCTTTTTGTGCTGCAGCTGCATTCTTACCGCCCTTAGTACGAAGCATTTGGGCGACAATTTGAGCAGCTATCTAAAACAAAAAAATTATACCCTGCCGCTGCAGGAAACGCCGTCAACTGGGATTAAGCGAGGTGATCTTCATATTTCAAAAGCTTACAGTGCTTGGAGATGTTTGCTCCGCAAGACGCAATTCATATTCGCACAGCGCTCCCACAACATCGGTTATCGACTGACAGACATCGTCCAGGATCGAGTTGCATAACGCTAGTGACTGACAAGAACTATATCAAATCCGCAAAAAGTATGGAAGAAAAACACGAATACCTTCTCGAGTATGTGGTTTTTCTCCTCAGGGCACATATCATGAAGAGCTGAGCTAAAATGTCCGCAGATTCTCGCAAAGCATAGCGCAAAGCGAGACTGTGATGGAAGTGTCAGACAACTTTTCCATTGTCTTTCCAAGGTCTTGATGTAAAAACTGAAGTAAGGTTGGAAATCACAGCTGAAAAATGGTACAATATAGAACCTTACCAGTAAACACTCAAGTCGCTAGTCTCTTTGAGCATCTCATCTTGCAGGTCAATCATTTTCAAGTGGAAAACATTGGTATTCATGATCACTGCCAGCTTCCGATTTTTGATAAGTAAAAATGGCGACCTCGCCATGCTTGTCCTCGCCTGAAAAAATAGAAGGTAAAAGTAAAAATAGCACCTTTATTAGCAAAATTGAGTAAACTGGGAAGCAAAACCTGTTATGAGTAGGGAGAAAGCAAACGAAAATCTGATATTACCTGAAACCTGAACCAATCCAAGCGCAGCGCTCTCAAATCGGTATCGGAGTTTATTGAGGAAATGGAAGATGCAAAATCAGAGAGTATGGTGGCTTCATCGTCACTCAAATCACCGAGAGTGGAGACTAGCTCACGAGTCATGATAGCATCATATCCATTGACGTACTTAAAAAGATATATGATCTTTGTACCATGTTCTAATGCGTATGAACTTACTTTGAGATAGTACCGCTGGATCACATCGCTATACTTGACTACTAGCTGGCGTAGTTCTAGCATGTGATAAAGGAGCTCAGGCAACTGACGGTCAACCAGTTCATCGCACTGCTTGCTTCCCTTCTTACTAGATGATGGCCATTCGCTCAGATGGCGAAGAAGCCACAGGACCCAAAACGAGTAAAATTGAAAACAAATAAGAATGAGAACGATCAAACGCCAAATGCAACTTACCTCGTCTCTAGTGAAGGATAACGCCATCCACACAAAGAGCATTTTTGGGCCCAGAAGTCCAGGCTGGTCCTTGATAAATAAGCAAAGTTCTCGAAGGGCCACTCGCAAAAACCGTCTGCGATCAGCATGGATAGAAGCACTAAAGCCATAAGTAACAATAAATCACACCAAAAATGAATTC